CCACGATGATAAGGACTCTGCAGCTTACATCTCCAAAGCCTGCTTCTGGGTCTGACAAAACTACGCATTGGACCACTTCTCCTGCCAATGCTTTGGTTTGTTTCTTAATACAAGATAGATTTCTTTAAAAAAAAAAAAAAAGGCCGGGCGCCGTGGCTCAAGCCTGTAATCCCAGCACTTTGGGAGGCCGAGACAGGCGGATCACGAGGTCAGGAGATCGAGATCATCCTGGCTAACATGGTGAAACCCCGTCTCTACTAAAAAAATACAAAAAAAACTAGCCAGGCGAGGTGACGGGCGCCTGTAGTCCCAGCTACTCGGGAGGCTGAGGCAGGAGAATGGCGTGAACCCAGTAGGCGGAGCTTGCAGTGAGCTGAGATCCGGCCACTGCACTCCAGCCCGGGCGACAGAGCGAGACTCCGTCTCAAAAAAAAAAAAAAAACAACCAAAAAAAAAAAGTTATCTGGTTTAGTTAAGTAGGATCTTTAAAAAACCCACAGTCCATATCTGCTTAATGCTGCAATACTGCCAGCTCCTGCCTGGGAAAGAACAAGGTGACGGTGCCGCTTCTCAACGCCACTGCACAATGCTGTACGTTCTAGCCAGCTCCACAAGGCAAGGCACACAGACCATAAAGGAAGAAGTAATACCACTGCTACTTGCAGATGGCATGACTGTCTTTATAGATTACAAGAAATCTACAAAACCACTCTTACCACCAGTGAGTTCAGCAAGGTTATAGGATAAAGGATCAAACATACAAAATCAACTGTATTTCTATACACTAGCAATGAAAATGTGGAATCAAAAATTTTAAATACCAAACCATTTACAATCACTACAAAAAAATACTTAGGAGTAAATCTAATATTTGCATGCTGAAAACTACAAAACGCTGGTGAAAGAGATCAAATTATCTCCAAATAAAATGGAGCAAAAGGTACCATGTTCATGATCTAGAAGACTCGACATAGGAAACATGTCAATTCCCCCCCCAAACTAATATAATACACAGGTTCAACACAAGTCCTAACAAAATCCTAGTAAGGATTTTGTAGATATGAACAAGATTATTCTAAAATTTATAGGGGAAGGCAAAGGAACTAGAATAACTTAAAGATTTCTGAAAAAGAAGAAGAAGAAGAATCAGCCTACCCACGTTAAGACTTTCCATAAAGCCACAGTACGGCACACTGTGTGGTACTGGCAGGAACTGACACACTGACGAGATGGAGAAGAGAACAGAACCAAGGTCACAGAGAGCCCCGCTCATGTACAATCAAGTGGTATTAGAACATCTGGATACACACTGGCTAAAAAATGAACTTTAATCTAAATCTCTCACCTTACCAAAAAAATTTTTTTTAAATATTCAAACATAAAGCTATAATACACATACAAGAAAATCTTCAACAAAGAGTTTTGTGAAATTCTTACTATGATACCAAAAGCACAATTCACAAAAGTAACAAAAGCAATAAATCAGAACTCACCAAAATTAAAAACACTGGATCCACCGAAATCTCTCTGAATCTCAACGGATGGAAAGACAAGATACAGACTGGCAACATGGTGAAACCCTGTCTCTACTAAAATACCCACACAAAAAAACTTATCCAGGCATGGTGGTGAGCACCTGTAGTCCCAGCTACTCGAGAGGCTGAGGCAGGAGAATGGACCCAAGAGGCGGAAGTTGCAGTGAGCCAAGATACAGCCACTTCACTCCAGCCTGGGCAACAGAGCGAGACTCCGTCTTAAAAAAAAAAGAAAATATGTCCAACTACATATCTGACAGAGGACCCATAGTTAGAATATGTAAAGAACTCTCCAAATTCAACAAGAAAAAAAAATAATCAAACACCACAACTAGAAATTAAAGATGGAAATACATTTACTTAATAGAGTACACAAATGGCAAAAAGATATCCAACCTCACTAGCATTAGGAAAATGGAAATGAAAAACACAATCAACCATCACTCCACATCTACTAGAACAGCTACAATCAAAAACAGTGACAACACCCAAGGTTGGCACAGACGAAAATAAACTGGATCTCTCAAATACTGCTAGTGCAAATGTAAAATGGTATAGCCACTCTGGGAAATAGTTTGGCAGTTTCTTAAAAAGCTAAATACACAGCCGGGCCCAATGGCTCACACCTACATTCGCAACACTTTGGGAGGCCAAGACGGGAGGATCACGAGGTCAGGAGATCGAGACCATCCTGGTTAACACGGTGAAACCCGATCTCTACCAAAAATACAAAAAATTAGCCGGGTGTGGTGGCAGGCGCCTGTAGTCTCAGGCACTCGGGAGGCTGAGGCAGGAGAATGGCGTGAACCCAGGAGGCAGAGCTTGCAGTGAGCCAAGACTGCGCCACTGCACTCCAGCCTGGGCGACAGAGCGAGACTCTGTCTCAAAAAAAAAAAGCTAAGTATACACCTACCATACAACCCAGCAGTGAAGTTTCTGGACATTTATTCCAGAGAAATGAAAACTTATGCCCACACACACGCAAACGTACACAATTGTTCATGGCAGCCTTATTTCTAACATCCAAAAAATCGAAACAACCTATACAACAGCTTGGATGGCTCTCACAGCATTATGTTGAATGAAATAGGCCAACCTCAAAAAACAAATCACATAATACAGATATCACTACAATATGGAAAAAAATAGAAAAATTTTTAAGTATCACATATTGAGTAATTTCAGTTATGTAACATTCTTGATATTAAAACGAGATGGAGAATCGATGAGAGGTTTCCAAGGCCAGGGGTCAGAGGGACGGGAGTGGCTGTGGCACGGGAAGCTCCCTGTGGGGTTGGAATGGTTCTGCATCTTGGCTGCAGTGGTGATTACACAGATCAACACCTGATGAAATCACAGAGAACCGCACACACACACACACACACACACACACACACACTCTGTGCCAAGGTAAGTGTCCTGGTTTCATATTATAGTTATATAAGATGTAACCACTGGGGTAAACTGGGTGAAAAATACAAGAAACTTGATATGGTTTGGCTGTGTCCCCACCCAAATCTCATCTTGAATTTAACTCCCACAATTCCCATGTGTTGTGGGAGGAACCCGGTGGGAGGTGATCGAGTTATGGGGAAGGGTCTTTCCTGGGCTGTTCTCGTAATAGTGAATGAGTCTCACGAGATCTGATGATTTTAAAAACGGGTTTTTCTACACAAGCTCTCTTTGCCTGCTGCCATCCACATAAGATGTGACTTGTTCCTCCTTGTCTTCCACCATGATTGTGAGGCCTCCCCAGCCATGTGGAACTTTGAGTCCAACGGAACCTCTTTCTTTTGCAAATTGCCCAGTCTCCAGTATGTCTTTATTAGCAGTGTGAAAATGAACTAATACAGGACCCGTCTATACCATTTTTGCAATTCCTGTAACTCTCTAATTATTTCCAAATTCAAAATTTAAAAAAAAAAATTATTTTTAAAGTAAAATAATGACAATATATGCCATGCAAACATTAATCAAAGAAAGCTGATATAGTTTTATTGAAATTAGACAAGTCTTCACAAAGCATTTTTAAAGATAAAAGAGGGCATTTAAAGACAATAGAAGGTCAAGTGAATAGGTTAATAATCCTAAATGTGCATCATCTAATAACACACTCCAAAATTAACCAAAAGAAATAGACACATCCACAGTGATGTTTAGAAACTCATGAAGTCTCTCAGTAACTGACAAACAAGCAAACCATGAACAGCAGCAGATTTGAACTAGACAACCAACAACTATGACTTCACTGACATACAGAGCAGTGCACTTAACAACTGAAAAATACAAATTATTTTTAAATACACAAAGAAAATTTGCTACAAGTTGTCTATATGATGAACCATAAAGCGAGTCTCAACACATTACAAAGACTGTAATTTTTATTTTATTTTATTTTATTTTTTGAGACAAAGTCTCGCTCTGTTGCCAGGCTGGAGTGCAGTGGCATGATCTCGGCTCACTGCAACCTCCGCCTCCTGGGTTCAAGTGATTCTCCTGTGCCTCAGCCTCCCGAGTAGCTGGGATTACAGGTGCATACCACCATGCCCAGCTAATTTTTGTACTTTTAGTAGAGACAGGGTTTCACTATGTTGGTCAGAATGGTCTCAATCTCTTGACCTCGTGATCTGCCTGCCTCAGTCTCCCAAAGTGCTGGGATTACAGGCGTGAGCCACCGCACCTGGCCCGTTTTTTTAAATTATAAGTAAATGGCCTCATGATATTCAGATACAAATCAATTACAAAAAGATAACTGCAAAAAACAGGTCAGGCATGGTGACTCATGCCTGTAACCCTGGCACTTTGGGAGGCTGAGGTGGACCACTTGAGCTCAGGAGTTCAAGACCAGCCCGGGTAACATAGCAAGACCTGGTCTCTATTTAAAATGATAATAATTATAATAAGTTAACTAGAAAAAATCTCTAACTTTGGAAATTAAGCAACACAGTTCTAAATTAAACATGGATTTAGAGTAGAAATGACAATGGAAATTAGAAAATATTTGGGCCTGGGTACGGTGGCTCACACCTATAATCCCAACACTAAGGGAGACCGAGCCAGATCTAGTAGATGGGATTACAGGCACTCACCATCTCACCCAGCTAATTTTTGTATTTTTAGTAGAAATGGGGTTTTGCCATGTTGTCCAGGCTGGTCTCAAACTCCTGAGCTCAAAGTGATCCACCCGCCTTAGCCTCCCGAAGTGCTGGGATTACAGGCATGAGCCACCACACCCGGCCTCCAGGTTTTAATCATTAAAACTTCTCATAAGATAATTAATTTGGCTCTCCTTTCTTTTCATATTAGTACTGTTTGGCTTTGATTAATGTACTAATAATCTGCATGATATCATTTAAGAAATATTTCCTTAAGTTTTTATATTAATATAGCTAATAAGTATATTAGAAGCTAAGCTTATAAGTAAGCTTAGCGTATAAGGAAATTAGGTAGCAACGGATAACAAACCTGGTACAGAGGAACTTCCAGCCATCACAGACAAACCACTCCAGTCCTCTTTTCCTTTGCATTATCCTGGCCCGTGGTAAGGTATGGTAATCACTTTCCTCATTCTCAAAGCCTTCTTCAGACATCATTAGTGGCATTTCATCCAAATGCGCAGACTCATCCTCCAGCTGGTACCTAGTTAGAGTAAAAACAGATTGCTGAGACAGGCCAAGCAGGCTTCTTTACAGTGTGTTTCATTTAGGGACAGTATTTCCTCAAATTAGGCTGTCTTCAGCTGAGGTAACGCATTATAAATAAGACTGCAGAGGCTGCTTTCTTTTGCAAAGGAATGTTGGCTAAGGTAAAAAAGCTGCCCAGCGAGGCCTGTGCTAGCTGTTAACTGTGCTGTGAGCGTACTCCTGGAGGCATCTGTGGTGCGGTTGGCCAGGCTGACAGCACAACTGATGCTGCTCAACAGCTCCTCACTGCACTTGATCCAGTCAGAAAACACCACTCTTCTGAAACATGACTATAGCAAAGAATGTTCACTCCAAGCAACATCTAAACACTCTATGTTACACAACTTTACATCATCAGCCAACATTCTAGAAGTGACTTTCAACAATATGTAGCTATCTGTATCTGAAAAGTATCAACATCATCCTTTGGTTTGCTGACAGACTTGATAATCTTTGGGGAATGATGCTATGTCCCATTTATTCTGTTATTCTCTTCACTAAAATGTGCTATTCAATGAAAAAATCTCAACAACCAGCATACCTTTTAAAGCTCAACAATCTTCTTGATTCCAAGAAACAGGCGGCCTATCATCAAAACTGTTCCTTTTATCCCTCCTCAATCACAAACATAATTTATCTTTAAAAAATAAAAACTTACCTTTTTGAGAACAATTTGTCAGAAACGATAATGGTGATTCAACAAGTGCTATCTTACTGAATTCTGCATCAAGTATTTGTGGAGGCATTGTCACAATGTGAAAAATACGAGAGCAGACTTGTGGGTTCCTCTCTGGGATAAAGGCAGTCACTTATATTGAAATCTTTTTTCACATTCTCTAAATTCCACATAGAAGACAGCTAAAACTAACCAAAACCCACCACTAAAACATAAATAAGGGACAGAGATAGTACCATCCTTAATTGACACATAAGGAGAAAAGTAAGTATTTCAAACCAACAAAGCCAGGTCCAGAGTCCAGTCTGGATCACAGCCAGGCAGCTCAGGGGCAGAACAGGACTGGGGCCCTAGCAATGGCAGACCATGGATAAAAATTATACCCAGACAGAATCTACCCTGAGAGCAACAGGTCTGTGATCACAGCACTGGTTACTGGGGGACCTACAGGACGGTGCACAGAGCTTGGTTAGTAAGGCATCAATGTCAGGGGCAGAAGTCCACATGGGAAGAAGGATGCACCTCTTGGAAGGCTTGTTGGTGAGGGGAAGAAAAGGAGCAATAAGTGGAAATTAAGAGTTCTTCAGAAACGAAAAATAGGAATCAAACACATAAGCAGGCAATTCTAGTACATTCTGCTAAAGTGCAATTTAGAGATAGGTCAGTATTGTGGAAGACTTTTCTTTTTTCAAGAGTATACAGTGAGTCTCAGGAACCCAGTCATGCAGTCCTCACTGCCTAGAAAACTCAAAGAGAAACAGCACGTTGTAAGTACCCAGAGGCCAAAAGGCACGGATGATGTGAAGGTAAAGCGCACGCAGTGGCCGAGTATACATGTCATGTACGATGGAATCGTATTTCTGACCAAGACCTGGCGTATTTCATTCCTAGTAATGCTTCCTCTTTTCAGACCTCCAACTGATGGGCCTGACAATGCACAGTTTCCAGACAAGGGCAGCTTAGCTCCAGGCACCTAAAACAGGCTCTGAAGTCCAGTGCAGAGTTCCTGCCAAAGTGAAGACTCTATCTGCACTGCACGCAATATGCTGAGTGCAGACTCCAGAAGAAACCCACCCTTTCTAGCCACAGCCCCAGCAAAGGGGGCTCTTGCAAAGCAGAATGTTTTTTCTGTTTTCCGTTTTGTCTCTCCTAGCCCTCCCAGGGCTACCCTGTAGTCACCTCTATGAGAGCAAGGGAAACAGGAAGACGGGCTCCTGGAGTCCAAACAGGATGTGGACGTCCCTGGTAGTTCTCTCTTTTCTCACACAACTTCTCCCTGAGAACTACCCCAGTCAGGTAGACTTTCACAACAACACGAAGGGTTAAAACTCTGAGAGAAAACCCTGACTTTCAGAAAGCATAAAGCTGAGAAAAAACAACCCTGGAAACTGGAGACGTGGGATAAACCAGAGAGCGGAGAAAGCTGGACAAGGGATGCCCTAATTCTGTATATGAATCAACAGAAGTCCCAGGCTCACCCACAAGCTGCAAAAATGTGCCCAAACCCAAATAAGCACAGGACAGGCTCTGGGAACTACTCAGGTCCTACACAACAGGCCTTGACAAGCACTAGTGGGCAGCTGATGGCCTGGTCAAGGCTTTGCAACTGAACTGACATGGCAACCACCACCCACTGGTGGTGAAACAGAACTAGGGGTCGAAACCTACCCAGGTCAATGCACTGCTAAAACAAAACATTCTTCAAAGGATTATGAGACCCAGAGTCCCTCAACACAATATTCAAAATGTCCAGGATACAAGCCAAACTTACTCAACATACAAAGTAATAGGGAAATATGGCCAATAGTCAAGAGAAAGAACAACCAACAAACGCTACTTGCAGTATGAAAAACATATTGGAGTTTTAAAGCAGCCATTATATCCATGCTCCATGAGATAAAGCTGAACAGTCTTGAAGTGAATAGAAAAACAGAAGTTCTTTTTTTCTTTTTTTTTTTTTTTAATACTCTGCAAGTATCCTAGGGTAGATAGAAATTCTAAGCAGATGGGGGAGGCGGTGTGTGCACACGCACCCACGCATACACACTATTTATCTATATTTCTTTATATATGAAAAGGTCTAACATGTATGCACGTCATTAGAATACCAGAAAAACTGAGGCAGAAAAATATGTGAAGAAAAAATGGATAAACACTTCCTAAATCTGTTGAAAGAAATCTACTAAATATAAAAGACAGCAAACTAAAAACAGCGTGCAGTCAAAGATACCTACATAAAGATACATCATAATGAAACTACTAGAAGCAAAGATGAAGGAAAAAATCTTGAAAGCAGCCAGAGAAACACAACTCATTACATATAGAGGAACATCAATTCAAATGCCTGTAAATTTCTCATGGAGAAAAATGGAGGCCAAAGCACAGTGGAACTTGATGTTTGAAGTGCTAAAAGAAAAGAACTGTGAACCCAGAAATCTATATCCAGCAACAATGTCCTTCAGGAATGAAGGAAAAACAAAGATATTCTCAGATGAAAGAAAACTAAGAAAATTTGCTATCAACAGATCTGCCCTGAAAGAATGCTAAAGAAAGACTCACGATGGAGAAAATGATACCAGAAGGAAACACAGAACTTCTAGAATGAAGGAAGAGCAACAGAAAGTTCTTGAAAATATGTATGACTATTAAAAATAAAACGTATTAAATTGTCAGGTTAAGTTTTTAACATAAACAGATGCAAATATATATAAGAAGCCTAAGAGGGAAGAGTAGGTGACTCTATAGTTTATACGAGGTGGTAAAATACTAACCTTAAGTAGACAGTGAAAAGTTAGCCATATTATCATAAGCCCTAGAGTCGGATTTCCCAGCAGAGGCATATTAACATTTTGGGCCACAGAACTCTATTGGGGTGAAGCTGTCCTATGCACATATTTATTCCACAGTATCCCCAGCCTCTATGTACTAGATGCTAGTAGCAGCCCCACACTCACCCCTTGTTGTGGCAATCAAAGATGTTTCCAGACATTGCCAAACATCCCTTGGAGTACAAAAATCACTATCTAAAGGAAGTACTTTAAATATAATGGTATTTAATATTAAAAGATTAAAAGTAAAAAAAATGGAAAAATAAAGTTAATCACTGCATAATGACATACCAGTCAACAATAGATTGCATATAAAACAGTGGTCCCACTAAGGAAGCTAAAAATTCCTAACACCTGGTGACATCACAGCCATAATAACATTCACAGTACAATGCATTACTCACATGTTTGTGGTGATGCTGGTGTAAACCAAATCTATTGGGTTACCAGTCATTCATCTAAAAGTCTAGCATATACACCTATGTACAGTATCTAATACCTGACAATCATAACTAATGACTATACTATTGGTTTATGTATTTACTATACTATACTATTATTAGTTTAGATCGTACCTTTTCTATTTATTTTCTTTAAAAGCTAACTGTAAAACAGCCTCAGGCAGGTCCTTCAGGAGGTATTCCAGCAGAAGGCATTGTTACCACAGGAGATGACAGCTCCGTGTGTTATTGCCGTCCAGTGTGACAAAATGTGGAGGTGGAAGATAGTGATTAGATGATCCTGACCCTATGTAGGCCTAGGCTAATATGTGTGTTTTTGTCTTAGTTTTTAACATTAAAAAAAAAAAGTTTAAGTAAAAATAAATTTTAAAAAAAGCATATAGAACAAGAATATTAAAAAAGAAAATATTTTTGTGCAACAATATAATCTCTTCATGTTTTAAACTAAGTGTTATTACAAAAAAGTCAGTAAGTTTTTAAAAATTAAAAAAAGTATAAAGTAAAAAAGTTGAAGTAAGCTAAAGATTAATTTGCATGCTAAGTGTCCTGTACAGGTGTATGATTGTTCATGTTTTATACTGCATTTTACTATGTTCAGTATGCTTAGATACACAGATACACGATTGTGTCACATCTGCCTGCCGTATTCAGGACAGTAACATGCTGCACAGGTTTGTAGCCTAGGAGCAACAGGCTCTACCATTACAGGCTAGATGTGTAGTAGGCTCTATCATCTTGGTCTGTGTGAGTACACTCTAGAATGGCTACACAACAATGAAATTGCCAAACATATTTCTGGAGTACAAAACTCAGTATCTAGGGGAAGTATTTTAAGTATTAATGGTATTTAACATTTCTCAGAAGATCACATCCCCATCCTTCAACAACACATGACTGTATATAATGGAAACACTAGTCAAAAGAAAGCTAAGTAGCTATATTAATATGAGACAAACACATCAAAAAAAAGAACTGCCTAGCATAAAGAGGAACATAATGAAATAATAAAAGGATCAAATCACCACTAAGATCTAAAAGTCCTAAATATGTATGCACGTACCACCAGAGCTTCAAAACACATAAAGCAAAACTGATACAAGCAGAAGGAAAAATAGACAAATCCACAATAGTAACTGAAGACTTCAAAACTCTCAGCCCACTGTTACCACTGTTACTCGACATAGTACTGGAAGTCCTAGCTAGAGCTATCAGACAAGAGAAACATATATGGGGCAATCCAAATTGGAAAGGAAATAATCAAATTATCTTTGCTGATGATACGAACTTATATCTGCAAAAACCTAAAGACTCCACAAGAAAACTATTAGAACTGATCAATTCAGTCGTTGCAGGATACAAAATCAACATACAAAAATCAGTAGCATTTCTATATGTCAACAGTAAACACTGTGAAAAAGAACTCAGTTTGTAGTCTTTTATCCCTCACCCTCTTCCCAACCTTTCCCCCTGCATCCCCAAAGTCCATTGCATCATTCTTATGCCTTCACAGAGGACTTTTAAATATGCAAATTCAAACAAGAAGAGACCATGTCTTGCTTATCAAATGTAAAAAAGAATTCTTAACATTCAATATGGCCAAAAGTCTTGGATAAACAGGCACTCTTAATCGCTGGTAAAAGTGGAGAACAATTTTTGAAGATGCATTGAAAGCTTTTTATTTCTGTAATGTAAATAAACTTTAACCAGGGTTTCTCATTATCCCATGGAAATTTAAAATGTGTTCAGTATTTCTCTACAAAGGTAACCATCACTGTGCTGTGATGTTGAAAAAGACCCAAGGAAACACAGCAAAAAGCACAGTATCCATGAATAAATAATTGGTGAAATATACGACAGAATAGAATATTGTCACTAAAAATAATCACGGAGAAGAACTTTGTTGAAAGTAAATGTGTTAGGAGAAATGGTAGTCACTGCTTTTCACCCCTCTTTTAAACACCCTACTCTACCAATCCAAATGCTACTTGCTGTAGTGTCTCCAGATAATCTTTATACACAACTCCAATCACTATTGACAGCATCACAGAACATCCTTACAACATACAAGTTTCATTATAATTTAGGCAAAAAAAATTACACAATCTGTGAAGTAACAGACCTAAAACATTAATATTTTTCCCTTAAAACGTCATTTTTTTCTTCTCTGTATGAGACTGCTTCTTTTAAAACAGTCAACTAGAAAATGAATATTTATACAAAATGCGAATAAAATTCAAAGCACCACATAAATATACTGTAATATAATACACAAAATGAGACTTTTGGTCTTTTTCATTATTTCAATAGTTATGTCTTATTTTAGTAAAAGTCACAATCTTATCAAGTTTAATGCAGGAAACTCAGCACAAGGAGTTCTGAAAGATAAGGAACACAAGCAACATCATGTTTTGTAACCTCAACTCCAGAAATGGAGCCTTTGAACTGGCAAGCAATTTATTCCATTTCCAAGACAATTTTCCTATTGTATTGAAAATGTTACCACAGTATTTAAAAACAGTAAGATGATGAATAATGGATTTTTTCAGAGACAGGAAAAGTGCAGAATCTCAAGTGTCTTTGTTGCCTGGTGTCATACACACTTAATTGGTTTGTCACTCAAGAAGAATCAACGTTTCCAGCAATTAAGTATAATTCTGGGAACATACTTTTAAAATGAGTAAAAACAATTATGAACAAAGACGACAGAATGGATGATACCAAACCCAAGAGCACTGCCATGGTAAGAAACAAGGACAGCTATCTGAACTGCAGCCAAAGGTTTCAAAAAAAAACAATTAGGAACTCTCAACTCGCAAGTACTGGAAGGCACATAATTTACATGTATCTAAGTAAAAGTAAATCAACACAATAACTAGCTTTAAAACTTACATTTTATCTTAAATATCTAATAGCCTTATTGTTTCCATTTCGATGAGAAACACTTCTTAGAAGCCAATCGATATTAAAGAAATATATTTAAAACATGTCTAATGCTCAAAGCTTCTTTAAAAATAAACACTCCCCCTTTGCCTGCATGTTAGTAAAGTAGAAAAACAAAGCAAAAAACTAAGTGTTATAAAGAAATGTGCATATTTCCTTCATCAAATACAACTACAAGGTTGAACCGTCATTGATAAGTCATTAGTAAGCAGCAAGCTGCATAAACTAATGAGAAATTGGGACTCTCCCCTCTATAGCAGCAAAGGAGACAAATGGTGCTATGGTTGAAATGTTTTTGTCCCCTCCAAATTCATGTGTTGGAAGCTTAATCCTCAAAGCAACAGTCTTAGGAGATAGTGCCTAATGGGAAGCATTTAGGCCACAATATTTCCACCCTCATGACGCATTAATGCCATCATAAAGAGGGCATATTGCATGGGTTTGCTCTATCCTGCTCTTCTGCCATGTGAGGAAACCACATTCTTCCTCTCTTGCCCTCCCATCCTCTCCCATGTGAGGACACAGCAAGAAGGTCTCACCAGATGTCAATACCTTGATCTTGGACTTCCAGCCTCGAGAAGTGTGAGAAATAAATTTCTGTTCTTTATAAATTATCTAGTCTCAGATATTCTGTTACAGCACCACAAAATAGACTAAGACACAGGGTAAGATGTTAAAATAAATAAATAAGCCAGCAGATAAATGAATAAAATTAAAGGGATGGCTGCCTGAAAAATACGCCTTGACTTTAGTAGCAAAACGCAGCAAAAGGAACATGGAAATAGTCCCCTAATCTGAGATGTCATTTCCCCCATGGGAATTATATATACAGTAACCTTGCAGCTAATGATTTCTAAAATGTTCTACAAGAAAACTGAACACCAATTTCTTGAAATAAGAAATAATACTGCTATACATAAATTGAGAAAAACTTCTGAATTAGAGTTAATGGTACAATATCCAATGTTATGTAAATGCAAACCCAGAAATTTGAAGCTATATAGCCAATTAGCTCAGGATACATACTTCAGTTACCTAAAATTGTGATGTTCCCTATTATCAACTCTGTCTTCATGCTAATACTATTAGGAGTAAAAAATAAATAAATAAATAAGTAAAACATTTCTATTCTGGCAAGTGTAAATAATTTTTTAAACTTGAAATTATATTATTTTATACTTTTTTTTTTTGGAAATAGAGCCTTGCTCTGTCTCCCAGGCTGGAGTGCAGAGGTGCAATCTCAGCACACTGTAACCTCAGACTCCCAGGTTCAAGAGATTCTTCTGCCTTGGCTTCCCAAGTAGCTGGGATTACAGGTGCTCGCCATCACATCCAGCTAATTTTTACATTTTTAGTAGAGACAGGGTTTCACCACCTTGGCCAGGCTGGTCTCAAACTCCTGACCTCAGGTGATCTGCCCACCTCGGACTCCCAAAGTGCTGAGATTACAGGTGTTAGCCACCGCACCCGGCCTACATATGCCTTTTAAAGGAAACTCTTATAGAATCGCCAAGAAAATGTCTCTGATTTCAACGAATCCTGGGACTGGACAACCAGATAAACACTGTCTTAAGAATTAGTACTATGTCTTTAAAAAAAAAAAAAAAGAAAAGGCATTTCAATTGTGAACCATCACAGCAAAAGAAGTTTCATTTTTACAACTAGTAAAATATTAGACTATCATAATTACCAAAGTTTTATGATTCATAGAAAATTGTGTATAGACTCTCAGAATGAGAAATCTAACATTAAAAAAAATTGTGTTGCTTCTATCAAGAAACACTAATATTTTACCAATAATCAGACAATAGACATCTGTTCTTAACACTAGTATCTTTCAATGCTAAAACTTAACTATTAGAAGATTGCAAAAGCCTCTGGGCAGGGCCAACAGTCACACTGCTGGCAAAAGCAAAGAAAAACTAATAACAGACATGGATAAACAAAACAATGCTTAACGTCATTCATTCTTCATTTAACTGCAAAGATAATTTGAATGACACCACCATCACTTAAAACACAAAAATGGGAAACACCAATTTAACAAATACCTTATTTTCACCCAGATGTTAACAATGCGAAGGAGAAATCAATGTCTCACATGACTTTGTAGAAAACAGACTTAACAAGTAATTGCATTCCCAGTGAACTATGAGTTACTATGTGTGATACACATCATTTTGTTTACTTAATGACATATGAAAACAGTAACATCCTCATCCTTGATGATAATAAAGGCAATGTGCTATTGAATGTTTTAATCTTCCTTAACCATATGATATGGTTTGGATGTGTGTCCCCTGCAAATTTCATGTTGAAATGTGATCCCCAATGTCAGAGGTGGGGCCTAGTGGGAGATACTGAATCATGGGGTAGGGGTGGTCCCCTCATGAATCCCCATGGTGATTGATAAGTGAGTTCTCACTCAGTTCACATGAGATCTAGTAGTTTATAAGAGTCTGGGACCTCCCATTCTCTCTTGCTCCCTTTTGTCATGTGACATGCTGGCTTCCCAATCCCTTCCACCATGACTGTATACTTCCTGAGGCCTCCCCAGAAGCAGATGCCAGCACCATGCTTCCTGAAAAGCTTACAGAAGCATGAGCCAATTAAATCTCTCTCTTTTTTTTTTTTTTGTAAATTACCCGGCCTCAAGTATTATATTTCTTTATAGCAATGCAAAAACGGACTAGCATCATACTCAAATCACATCTAATTCTTCCCTTGGAAATTTTTATAAAATATAAGCCCAACCATGAAATTTTTTATACGTTTTAACAACTAACCAACGTTATCTTTTAAATATACTGTGTTCTAAAGTAGTATGATTATAATAAAAATAATTCCACTTCAAGGAAAACCTGAGAACTTCTAAAATACAATAACTACAGTTCTTTATACACAAGAACAAAATGTCATTTTCATATGGTCAAGGAAGGAAACTTTCAAAGCTTACAAAGCGAAGTAAAGCTCATATGAAAGCTGTTTTTCTAATAACTATTTCGTTTTCAACTGCCAATGTGGATATCTAGGCTACATAATGTAAAATTCTGCTTCTCGTAAATTAAGACAATACACTAACTTACATTTTTTTTTTTTTTTTTTTTTTTT